GCCTTCTTTTGATGATGATGATGATGGTGGTGGTGAAGAGGATCCAGGTCATAAGTGGTTAGAATCTATGAAACAAAGAACCTCAACAGATCCTCAAACTGAGTTAAATAGATATATAACAACTGACTCGAGAGATGAAATCCCTTCTGCAGCTGAGTTTGACATATTGTTATGGTGGAAAGTTAATTTAGAAAAATATAGAATTCTCTCACACATGGCACGAGATGTATTGGCTATGCCAGTTTCTACAGTGGTTTCTGAGTCTGCCTTTAGCACCGGAGGACATGTGGTTGATCATTATAGAAGCTCTTTATCTTCTAAGATGACATAAGCACTAATTTGTAGCCAAAATTGGCTACAACCTGGGCTATCAATGTCTGAATTTGTTGACAAGCTTCGGGAGTTTGATAATTTTGATGAGACAGAACATGTCCTTCAACTTGCTAGTAATCTTTTTTACCCCCAAATCTCAATAACTCATATTTTACTTCATAATTTGTAATGTCATTGTTCTTTGATTTTTTGTCCTAGATTCTGCTACACCTGGAGCTGGAGGGGAGAATTTAATGGCTATTGGTAATTGAAGGGTCATTTTATAAACATGACTAGTTAAGCTGACAAGGTAAATCGGTGCTTCCTTTAAAATCTAGAAGTATATTTTTTTTATTGTTTACTTTGTAATATATTAAACTTTGTTATTTTTATTTGTATTTTTTTCAGGTGTTCCATCCTTTTTGGGAAATTATGGAGATTGATGCAAAGTGCAAACTGTTCAATTTTCTAGGCTCCAATTACAATATTGAATCTTGTTTTGAATGGATTATTGATGTTATTCAATTGGATATTTGTTAAGACTTATTTTGGACTATTTCTGAATGATTTTGGTGTGTTAAAATGTAGAATTATGTAATGTGATTTTCAGATATGGATGGAGTTGTTTTTTTTTTTTTATGATTTGAGCAGGACATCGGTTTTTGGGCAATGAAGCCCGCCCTGCCCCGCCCTGCCCATGCCCTGCCCAAAATAGTTAGGGCTTCTATGGGCAGGGCTGGGCACCGGGCTGTATTTTGCGGCCCACACATAGTTCGGCCTGGGCATCGGGCAGGGGTCGAGCCCTGCCCAGCCCTGCCCACGTGCACCCCTAGACTTACACTTGCCACCCCCATTTGACAATGATAACTGTTGAATAACCAATGACAAAAAATATATTAGTAATAACAAGTTTGATAATTTTGTTTTAAAATTGATATAAGAACATCTTAGTCATTTGACTGTATTTCCAAAAATACCAAACCAAGTACCATATCGTCTACTAATATTTTGATATTTTAGGTGCCTAAATTGAAATATTGCAGGAAATTAGGGATGAGCAAAACCAAACCAAAGCCAAACTGAACCAAATTCAATTTTGGTTTTTCGGTTCGATTATTTTGGTTTTCAATTACATATTCGGTCTTTATTTTTGTAGTAATTCGGTTTCGGTGTTCGGTCCGGTTAGTAAAAAAAATTTCAGTTATAACCGAAAAACCGAATTAAATATATTATATATTTATATTTAATAAATATATATGTGTGGGTTTATGTGAACTCTTTAAATATATTTATATTCAACAAATATGGTTATAATAACTCATATTAAATGATGAAATATTTATTAATTAATGATTGTAATTATATTTTTTTATTATTTTTAATTTAAAATCACTTTTCATATTTATATATTTTGGTTAATTGGTTAACCTAACCAAAATATTTCGGTTAATTCTGTTTCGGTTTCGGTATTTATAATTTGCTTTATTTGGTTATTCGGTTAATTCGATTATCACCAATAACCGAACAAAACAGTCGAATGCTCACCTCTACAGGAAATCACAACATTCTAATTCAGGCATGTAAGAGGTAAAAAATTTTAGGAGAGGAAGTAATGTCTCATATGATATTTTGCAAATATAATTAAATGATAAAAATACCCTTATCTCAAAAAGTTTATTAACAAGCTATGAATGGGTAATCAGAAGTGTTAAATAACAAATGACAAAAAATATATTTGTAATGACAAGTTATTCATTAATAAGTTGTGAATTGGTAATAACAAGTGTTGAACAATCAATGACAAAAAATATACTGATAATGACAAGCTTGATAGGTTTTTTTTATAAAAAAAATCTGATATAAAAACATTTTAGTCGTTTGATTGTATTTTTAAAATACCAGGTCAAATGCCATATCTTCTATTAAGATTTTGATCTTTTAGATGTTTAATATATGTATATGCAGAAACGTACAATTCATTTCAAAGTGTGTGTATATTTATATATATATATATAGAGAGAGAGAGAGTAAACTAAACCCTTTGCCAAGAAGCCAGTTGCACCTGTGACCTATATAGTCTTTCTCCTGAGAAACTGTGTTACACTTGCCACCCCCATTTTGAAGAAGCAGAGTTTGTTGTTCCTCTTTTGTGAAGATTATATTGACACGATGATATATATTCTCTTCCAATATTATTATATTGTATTTATACAAATAACAATAATTTCATTATCCACACACACATATATCCATTTTGTGGTAGGAGTTGTTGGAAGATTCTGTGATCGTAAAAATAGGATTTTGTCAACCTGGGGACATAGAGAAAACAAAAATTTGTGATTATATAAATAACATTTTTTTATTATATTAAAAAAATAACATAAAAAGAAGTTGAAAATTATAATATTTTAATTTATATAACTAAGGTCAAACTTTCAGGCAAGAAAGTGGTACTTGATAATTTTTTTCTTTATTGCCCCTCAAATTATATTTATAAAATATATCTGGCACCATTTTTTTCCCTTAAAATTTTAACTTCTTAAGTTTCTAGATATTTTTAGCTTTTTTTAATGTTATTTTCTTAAAGAAAGGCCGGAGAGGTAATTAATAATTTGACTTTTAGGCACAGACAGTTGGATGTGATCCATGACAATTGATGACCCCGATGGAGCAGGCACACGGCCTGCCAAGTGACAAGCCTCCTTAGCCATCGCATTAATCACACCAACAAATACCACCTCTGCAGCTTCGAACTGGTTAAATTTTTATTTTAATTTTAAATATAAAATTTTAATTTATTTTGTCTCTTATAATTATTTTTTTTTAAAGATATTCCTTATATAATAGTATTTCTAATAAATATACTTGACTAGTAAAGATATTTTAAAAAAGACAATACCTATTTATTGTAAATAACTAACTTAATTAATATTTTTAATATACTTAAATTAATTTACTAGTTCTTATATTAATAATCCGTATAATATTTATGGTTGTCCCCACAAGGGCTAACAGGTATACGCAACACAATAAATAAAATAAATTTAATTTGAAACCATCTAAATTTCTTTGAAACAAATCTGTGTGTGTATACCTAATTCGAGGTCCCTTCAATAATTAACTGGGAAAATTACAGTTAAGTCTTAAAAAAATAATTATTAAAATTTTTTAATAACAATTTGAATAGCGATAAATTTTAAAATGAAGAAAGACAATCTCTAAGATTTATTTTATAATTTTTTTTATTGAGACATAATTAATTTCCAAATATATACGTGTTTTTTATTTTGATAATATATATACATGGTTATTTTGTTTCCAAAAACGTGTAGGAAAAAAAAAACTAAATACCCCGTGGTCCTTTCGTTTTCCAGATGCAATTTTCATGGGCCATATTTGCTGATTTTAGCTCTCAGAAATTTAATCAAATGATATATACGTGGACCTAACTAAGAGGCTGTTAAACAGATTTTGCATCCAAAAAAAATACTCCTCCGGTCCTAATTATAAGACCCAATTGATTTATTTGAGGAGATTAAAGAAGTAAGTTAAGTTGGTTATTTATAATAAATAAGTGTTGTCATTCCTAAAATATCCTTACTAATTAAGTATATTAGCTAAAACTATCATTATTAGAAGGATTATCTTAGAAAAAAATGCATAAATATAAGAGAGAAAATGGATTGGGTCTTATAATTAGGACCAAATAAAAAGTCAAATTGAGTCTTATAATAAGGACAGGAGGAGTATTAAACACTTTTTCTTAAAGACAAAGAATAGAGATAATAAAACAACAAAATAGACGTTGTCATTGTCAAATATTAACTGCGATGATGTAACGCAATGTGTGCAAAGAAAAAACGAGCAGAAATTTTCTTTCAGCCCTTAAAATTAAAATTAAATAGATATTACTATTTTCGGTTTTTAATATAAAAATTGATTATTAATTTGTTAATATTAGTTAATTAATTATTTGTAATAAATATATTTTTTTTAAAAAAATATTTTTATTCATGCGGTACGGGTCATTATAGTCAGAATATACTCCTTTGATTATAAATTTACCCCCACCAAATGTACGAAAAGTTCGGAAAAAGTAAACTATAATATTCAGAGCATCCAAAAAGAGATTTCCCGATGATGATATCTCCTAGTCTTTATAGATAGGCTCATGGCTAGGGGATAGGTTCATGATGCCTTCTGGGTCAGGATCATCTGAGTCATAGTATCTCCTTGTGCAGTAGTAGTCTAGTCGTCCATGATCATCTCAATGACTTCAGAAATGAAAACTTTCCAAAATATCGATGTGATGATTATATTGCATAATTATTTTTCATGCGCGTGATCTTAAAGTTCAAATTCACACATATGCAAATCATCGAGCTTTCCGATCAGCACACATTAATAAATACTCCGTATATGGTTGGTTTCATTTAATATTAAAGCTATCCATAGGAGATGAATTCAATACACAGTGGACGAGGCCAAAATACATCCTCCAGCATGCCGCGCTTTGTAATTTATTTACTTATTTTTCAAATTACTAGAGCTAACTAATTATTGATAATTATTCATGCATGCAATTGCACTTTTTTTTTTTTTTTTCCAATCTTCCCCCAAAACAAACACCTTGGTCTAGTACAATTTATTTTATTGATTTAATCAATTTGGGGAAATCACTTGGAGGGTTACTTAATTGCATACTTGACGAGGCCAGGAATGTGCACGTCCATCATGTACTCACTCCAATCAATACTTCCAACGCCCTCCCACCACTTTGTTGCCTTCCTTAGCTTTTCTGTGTTGCTGTCGTCGAAGCTATTGTTTTTATTTTCATAACATTAATTATTCCAAGTTAAGCTAAGTTTACGCATTAACATAAACAACTACGAAATAATCAATTAAAAGAGAATAATTAAATTTAAAAAAAAACATACGTAGCCTTGAAAAACACGTAAGGTTTGTAAAGCTCAGCCATTCGTGTCAGCATTTTGATTTTCCTGTGGTTGCCACTGTAAGCATCTTGGAAGCCTCCGCAAAGCACTTTGTTCGCTAAATTTAATCCCTTTTGAAATCCACCAAAACGTGCAAAAACATTAGTACATGCAGTTTAATATCTACATATAGATATGAGGTGGCTAGGGTGGGATATATATATATATATATATAGAGAGAGAGAGAGAGAGAGAGAGAGAGAGATTGTTTTGCACAGCTTGAAGTGTACGTAGAAGATGATATACCGTGAGTGGTAGCAGATATTGAATCAGCAAATACATATGGAAATGAGCGTTGCTTGCTAATGTTGCCTTGGATCGAATCATCAAAGGCTTTCCATTTTTGGTGGTCAGTGGGTTATTCTTGAAATAAAGAGACAAGATATTGGGAAGAGATGAAAGTCTAAAAGGATTTCTTGACGAAGAACAAACATGGAATGTGTAATTCTCTGAAGCTTCATTCGAATGATTCGCCATTGCTGCCATCATACAGTTTACTACTATGTCCGCAGGTATCTGCATCATCATCATGAATCACTGGCCGAGAGTTCAAATTTTAAATAATATATATTATGCTGAAATATAGTATAAATCAACCATGCATAGATTGTCCTATAACATGGATATCTAAAAAAGAAAGGAACACATATAAATACTTACCAAGTCTAAAATTGTCTTAGGATTACCCGGAAAGCAAGTTAATTTTCCTTTGGCATAGCCACCGATCACAGCATCCACTGTTCTGTAATCATAAAATATATAATTTTCCAACTTCTTCCTCACTTTTATTATCTCTATATATTGTGAAGATAATGTACATATAATTAGTAATAGAATGTCCAGTGTGTATGCACAGTGATTAATACCTGAAACCTTCAATCCAGCCAGGAAAGGGTTCTTTGTAGGTACTGGTCACCATGGTTGGGCGTATGATGACTAGAGGAATCTGATCCTTGAGATGTGACAGAAACATTTCTCCCAGTGCTTTTGTCAATACGTAAGTGTTTGGCCATCCATATAAGTTTGCCCTGTATCGTTTTAATTAAAATTTACATTCCTAGTTCATTTTATTGATTAGAAAGGATGAAAAAGACAGATATGGGGTTTTAAATTGATAATTAAAGAACCTCTTAAGTCCATAATCTTTCATTGCGGCTGAGATGGCCTTTGCATCAGCATTCTCCTCTTCGAGTTGTTGCGTTCTTTTCTTCATAAAACCCAGTTCTGCGTGAATGTCTAATTCTGCAACCTTCTTCAAGGCACGTCCCATCTTAAAGGGTTCTTCCCGTATTACTTCTTTGTCCTTAGCCTCCCCACACACATATGCTAAGATAAATAATTTGAGTCATAATCCTCAATATCAAAATATATGTGTATATAGTATATAATTTTACAGCAAGCCACAAAATGACTAATTTTTCAGAAGCCATGCAAGACCAAAAAGTATGTCTAATTATAATCCACACAAGTCTAAAGAAGTGTTTGGGTGCAAACCAAATCATGGTTTTAAAAATAATTTTACAAGAAGTAAATCTGTGAGAAAAGTTTTGTCTCGAGTTGTGTGAAAGTATTTTTAAGAGTATTTTTGGGTTTACCAAACACCTCTGGGCCATGAAGATGTTTGGGTGCAAATCAAATTTGGCTCACGTCTGCGTCCATCTGAACATTCGAGGTTTTAGCTGCTGGGCCATGAAGATGGCATGAGGCCGATGGTAGGGCTAGAAAAACTGAAATGCGATTGTCATAAATTAATTAAAATTTAGTTTATTGACTGTTTGCTTCAAATTAATTAAATAGCCAACCAAACTAAACAAAGCATAGTTCTAAACAGCCATAAGGCTGATCTGTTGCCTCTGATCCTAAGTAAAGAAGTCATGTACCAGAGAGATCATTAATTACTTCACCCCATTCTAAATGTGGGAAATAGTAGGTTGAAAGGTTGTTTTGTACCTAAACAAGATAGTTTAGCTTCTTTGGTTAAAGAGAACTTTTTTTTTTCCAAATTTATATTTTTTTTCTTAATTATGCCAATTAATTGCACACATTAAAAGAAGTTTTTAAGCAATATTTAATGTATACTATTAAATAAGGATATCTTAGAAAAATTAATATATATTTTTAAATAAAATTAACTTAATTAATTTTCTTCATCCTTCTAAAATTGTTATGTAGTTCTTATATTTAGAATAAAAAGAAGCAACATGCATGTTTACCAGTTGATACGTGGAGAAGAACTTGTATCTTTTGACACCTCTTTGCGAAGTTTAAGACATTCAGAGCCCCCATCGTGTTAACATTCATTGCAACGTCAAATCTGCATGACCTAGTTGGCCAGAACAAAAAAATCCGCATGATATACATAGTTGGCCGGAGGAGTAATTTGTAATAACACTTTTATGTTACTTATTTTCATCATTGATTTATGATATTAGAATGATTGATTTAATTCATGTTTCAATTTGATATAAAACAAACAAAGAGCGCAGTGTTGATTGGTTCAAACATTTTTGTTCGTGCGTGTGTGTTTGACCAAAAATCAAATTGGGCCTTTACCTGGTTTAAAATTTCGTTTGTGTACCACTCATCTTTTAGCCCTCGTTTGGAAAGGGAAAGAATGAGAGAAAAATAACGAGAGAAATATTAGAAGTTTGCGGCTTGGGACCCCCAATATGTGAAATTATGATTTGGGATCCTCAATTTGAAAAATAGTAACTAAAAACCCGGTCCCATATTATAAACATGAAATCTTAGTGAAATGTCTTAAATGCCCCTCAACTAAGTTGTGATTTGGTCTACTGAAATTGTCATTTGTTAGAGTACGTGGACTTGTCACTTGACTGAGAGGTCCAACCACCCTTATCTTGTTGTATCAACCCTTTAAAAAACAGTAGCTGAGATAGTTAGTGATATATCTAGTTGAGTTGGGTAAAAACCAACATTCAAGCCGTACAAACTCCAAGAAATACCCGTAAAAGCAAAATATGATTTAATAAAAGAAACAAGGTTGGTGAAGATATTTATGCTAATTAACCTGTTGATACGTGGACAAGAACCTTGAGCTTAACACATTTTTTGGCGAAACCCATGACATGCTTAGCTCCGAAGGTGTTTAGTCTTAAAGCAATCTCATATAGGCATGTAAGAGGTTAAAATTTCAGGAGATGAAGTAATGTCTGATTTGATATTTTGCAAATACAGTTAAATATTAAAAATACCCTTATCTCAAAAAGCTTATTAATAAGTTTTGAACGGGTAATGACAAGTGTTAAACAACAAATGATAAAAAATTTATTGACAATAACAAGTTATTTATTAATAAGTTGTGAATTGGTAATGATAACTGTTGAATAACCAATAACAAAAAATGTATTGGAAATAACAAGTTTGATAATTTTTTTTAAAATTGATATAAGAACATCTTAGTCATTTGATTGTATTTCCAAAAATACCAAACCAGGTACCATATCTTCTACTAAGATTTTGATATTTTAGGTGCCTAAATTGAAATACTGCAGGAAATTAGGAGTGAGCAAAACCAAACCGTGACCGAAGCCAAACTGAACCGAATTCAATTTCAGTTTTTCGATTCGATTATTTTGGTTTTCAATTACATATTCGGTTTCGGTGTTCGGTTCGGTTAGTAAAAAAAAAATTTCAGTTATGACCGAAAAACCGAATTAAATATATTATATATTTATATTTAATAAATATTATTATAATAAATATATATGTGGGTTTATGTGAACTCTTTAAATATACTTATATTCAACAAATATGGTTATAATAAATCATATTAAATGATGAAATATTTATTAATTAATGATTGTAATTATATTTTATTATTATTTTTAATTTAAAATCACTTTTCATATTTATATATTTCGATTAATTGGTTAACTTAATCGAAATATTTCGGTTAATTCGATTTCGGTTCGGTATTTATAATTTGCTTTATTTGGTTATTCGGTTAATTCGGTTATCACCAATAACCGAACCAAAAGATCGAATGCTCACCCTTATAGGAAATCACAACATTCTAATTCAGGCATGTAGGAGATTAAAAATTTTAGGAGAGGAAGTAATGTCTGATATGATATTTTGCAAATATAATTAAATGATAAAAATGTCCTTATCTCAAAAAGTTTATTAACAAGCTATGAATGGATAATCAGAAGTGTTAAATAACAAGTGAAAAAAAATATACTGATAATGACAAGCTTGATATTTTTTTTTCAAAAAAATCTGATATAAAAACATTTTAGTCGTTTGATTGTATTTTTAAAATACCATGTCAAATACCATATCTTCTATTAAGATTTTGATATTTTAGATGTTTAAATTAAAATATTGTAATTTTTAATTTGTTTTATGTAAATTTTCAACCAAAACAAAAGATGGAGAATCAATTGACAATTTGACTTTTGGGTGCATCGCGTTGGGTGTGATCGAGGACAATTGATGAGCGGATGGAACGGCGACACGCGCAGGCAAGTGTCAGTAGTACTGGGAAAACGGGCCGGCCCGTGACGGGCTCGGCTTAAACGGGCCGGCCCGTGACGGGCTCGGGCTTAAATGGGCCGGCCCGTTTAAGCCCGAGTTCCAAAAATAAGTCATTTTTTCAAGCCCGGCCCGTGAGATGACGGGCTCAGGCTAGCCCGCGGGCTTTTGGTCTTTTTAATTAAAATAATTTTTTTTATTTTTTTGTATATTTTATCAAAATAATAAAAATGAAACAATAAAAATTACTAATAAAAGGTATAAATATAAATAAAATTAAGTCACAAATATAAACATTATCATGTCTAAACATATATTACAGTATAATAAAGTCTATTGAATAAACAAACTAAATAGAGGACAAACATAAACAACTAAATAAGCATTAAGTTCAGTAGATAATTACAATGCGGATGATCTAGTTTGATTATAAATAATTAACAAAAAAGTTTAACTAACAAACATAGTATACATAAAGAATAATCATTTATCATACCGACAAAAAAGAAAAGAGTCCATCATTCTTAGTTCTAAATTTGTTTCTACTATAAAAATGATATAGATCTTTATTTTAGTTTAAAAGATTTTTTGATCAATTATATTTCAAGTATAAAAAATATGGGAGAATGATAAATAAAAATTGTAAAAATTATAGATATAGTATTTTAATAGGTTTTGACAACTTATAAATAACAATATATTTTTATGAATATACCTAGTTTTAAATTTTGCAATTTTCATGTTTTTTTGGTTATTTTTCCCACAACTATAGTGATTCTTTTTTTCTTTTTGTGAATGCTATCTATGTGAGCTGCCAAGATAAGTAAAACTAAGAGTATGCTATGTTTAAAATGTTAGGGTTTTCTTTTTTAAATTAAGAAAAAAAGACAGAAATTAAAAAAAAATAATTTGGCGGGCCTAAACGGGCCGGCCCTGTATTTTTCGGCCCTACAGGGCTAGTCCTTTTAAGCCCGACTTCCCTTTCAAGGCTCCAAAATACAAGCCCGGCCCTCGACTTAAACGGGCTTAAACGGGCCGGCCCGACGGGCTTGGCCCGTTTTCTCGGCTCTAAGTGTCAGGCCAGCAAATATTAATAAATACTACCTCCGGTCCTTATTATAAGATCCCGTTTGACTTTTTATTTGGTTCTAATTATAAGACCCCAATCCATTTTGTCTCCTATATTTATGCATTTTTTTAAGATAATCCTTCTAATAATGATAGTTCTAGCCAATATACTTAATTAGCAAGGATATTTTAGGAATAACAACACTTATTTATTACAAATAACTAACTTAACTTATTTCCTTAATCTCCTCAAATAAATCAATTGGGTCTTATAATTAAGACCGGAGGTAGTATAATAATTTTGGTTGTGCCCCCACAGCGGGGCCTAACGGCTACCCGCAACATAATAAATACAGACAAGATCATTAAAATAGCAGAAACTGGCCGTGTGGTTATTATTTTGGATGTACTTTTCCTGATTCCACCATCTAAATTTCTTTGAAAAAATCTGTACGTGTGCACCTAACTTGAGGTCCTTCAATAATTAATTTCCAAATATATATCGTGGTTTTTTTATTTTGATAATATATATACGTGGTTATTTTGTTTCCAAAAATGCATAAAAAAAAAGACACGAGGTATCCCGTGGTCCTTTTATTTTCCACATGCATTTTTCATGGGCCATATTTGCTGAGTCTAGATCTCAGCAATTTAATCATATGATACATACGTGGATCTATAAGGGTCTGTCTGGCTTAATAAGAAGAAGGATAGAGGAGGGATTTTAATGGAGGAAAGGAAAAGAGAGGAGAGTGGAAAGATTTTAATATTATTTTGTTTGGATTTATAAAAAAAGAGGAGAGGGGAGGGGAGGAAAAAATATTTTGACATGGACAATTTGCACTTTTTTATTTAAGATTATTTTTGCAAATTTTATAGAATGTTTAATAAAATAGAATTGTAAATAACATTTAATATATTGAACAATACTTATACTAAAATTCTAATATACTGTAGAATATGAAGTATTATTGAAAAGAAGGCTGAAGTAATGTTCAGCCACAACTTATACTATATCTTTGAATGAAATATTTGGTCATACAAAAGAGAGAGCAACATATGGAGATAAGAAGAAAAGAATTTAAGGTAGTATATGGATATTAAAAATAAATACGGGCATAGCTGTCACAACATAGTAAAATATTGCTATTTCCCTTTAAATCTTCCCAATTTTGGAAGGGAGGCTGAGAAGGGGAGGCCCTCCTAAAATCTGTGCGTTGTCAAAAATGATAAAAATCCCTTCTCTTCCCTTCTCCCTCCAAATCCTTCACACCAAACGCATCCTAGAGGTCAATATTCTGTTATTCGGTTCACTTGTATCCCATTATCCTTGCCGGCCCCCTATGACATACAAATGGCTGAAATGCGTTCAATCTTTAAAAGTTATACATAGCTCTTCGTTTCACTTGCCATGATCATTTTCTTCAATTCGTCCTCGTTTATTTGCCTTTGAAGTACTAGTAATTCCTTCATAATATCTAGAAAAAGAAGATTCTAAATTACAATAATTTTTCTGCTAGTTAACTCAGGTGTCCAGTTCTACCTGCGAGAATGAATAGTGAAGAAGCGCGATGTCAGGCTCTGATGATGATTATTTTCTTACCTTTTAGTAGTTTGCTGTGTTGGTGGCTCTACCATTCAAATTATTTCTTTCGGTCTTAAATATAAAATTCATTTTATAGTATAATTTATTTTATAAATTAGCACCGAGTAACTAGGACTGAAAGTAGTAGTAATAATAATAATAAGAAAAAATTAATATTGCATTATCCTTTTTGCTTTTTATTTCATCTTTCCTTGTTGCTCCATTATCCTTCTGTTTACTTAGAGTGTGTTTCGATTAACGGTGATAAAATTGACTTTTATTTTGTCAGACTTTTGGAAACATGAATAAAGGTAAAAGTCAGTTGATTTATGTTTGTATTAACTTTTATAAAGGTTAGTTTAATAAATTGAAACCGGTTTGGGTAAGTAATGAAAAAATTAATTTAGATATAAAATAGCCCAACTTATAAATTTATTTATAATATAGTTATATACATAAATATTTTAGAGAGATCATATAACATATGATATAATTAAGTAATTTATTTAACTTTCATAATCTCTTCAAATTAGTCCATTGGGTCTTATATTAATTAAGCACCTGAGATAGTATATTACATGTATATAATTTGATAAATTTAAGAAATATAATGAATGAAAAATAATTAAATTATTACCGGAAAAAATCATATTATTGGATCAAGACAGGACCTACTTAAATGCTCTTATCATTATTTTCATCTTCATTTTTTCTCTCTCCACGTTAGCAACAAAGAAAGCTAATATTTCTAGCATTGTACTGCATGGCACTTTTCCTCCATGAGTTAGTTGGGTTAAAAACCCACCCAAACAACCTTTAATCTGTAAATGAATCTTGAACCTGTGTTTCAGAGTCCCAAGCTTATTACCTCGATGAATCGGAAATCCAAACACACTGTTATGCAGTTAGTTTTAGATGGGAGTGATCTGACTGAGCAGCTACTGACATGGAAAGAAGAAAAGATTGACTGTGGAAGAAGCTTCCTTTAATTTCCTTCCCCATGCTCTCTTCTCTATCCCCACTCGCCACTCCCCTTACTCTTCGTCCTCCTCCCTTCTCCCTCTAAACCCCCACAAACTCACATTCCCCACATCCCATCTTTCCCCTTCATTAAACTACACATTATTATAATTGATGGATGCCCGTGAAAATTCCCCACATCCCATCTTTTATGGTTGCAGTTTGGATGAGGGAAGAAAGGAAGAAACCGAGCTCAGTATCATTTGCCTCCTCTCACTACTGTTCTCACCATGGCTTTAGCGTTTTTCGACAAGAGTATTATAAAAATTTAAAAAGTAAAGTTCTAGTTCGACTTTCGTTTCGCATTTTACGGAATTTACTGCAACTGAATGCAACTCAAAGCTAAAATAAAAACAACACATTGGATAAGTATTAACTACTATCAGATTATAATAATAAACGAAAATGAAAATCTAATATAAAATTTATACATCAAAATAAACTTAAATAACGCCAAGATTCTAACGATTAAAAATGAAATTCATGAAAGATTAAACTGAAAATATACCGTTCCTGTACGGGCGGCAGGCTACTGTGGGGGAGTCATTTAAAGCGCGAGTCGACTCGGTTGGTGGCCGAGTTTGCGTTTCTCTGCATGAAAATCCGGTGAACTCGCTCACTGAAACGCCAGCGACTTAGACTCGTCGGAGCGACTCGCTTATTGATCATGTAAGTCGAAGCGATTGAACGAGTTATACGTAAAACACACTTCTGGGATTCCTATCATTATTTAATAATACTTATATATATATATATATATATTTATATCATTGATTGGTTTGTTTCCCCTCAGCTTCATCAGTATTTGGGCAACCTGGGAGATGAATTAATTGCGTAGTTGACGAGGCCAGGAAAGTGGACATTCAGCAAATAGTCTCTCCAATCTATGCTATTGGGATCAAACCCCAAATCAAATCCAACATCCTTTAGAATCTTTGATGATCTTTCTCGTAATTCTTCAGTGTGCCTATCATCAAACCTGTTACAATATTATATATTAAAACATTAACTCGAAGTTGGCCACTACTACTTACTATTTCAAATGAGTGGGTACAATTCTGAATGAATAATAGAGAAAAAGCGAACAAGAAACATACAGTGCCTTGAAAAATACATAGGGTTTGTAGAGTTGGGCCATTCGTATCACCGTCTTGACTTTTCTATCATTTCGATTATAAACATCTCGGAAGATCTGGCAAAACACTTGGTTCACCGCATATAATACCTTGCAACCAAATCATCATGCAAAAAAAGATTAGTTAGTATAAAATTAAAAGACACTAAGTGCGAGAAGTTAGTTAATAATTAATTAGGAAGCTCAATTAATATTACGTACGCACCTTGAGGGGAAGAACATACCGGGTCGTCATGTGAGCATGGAAACCAGCCATAGTTGATAAAAACAATGCCTTGGATATGATTATTGGCTTTCCACTTTTGTAATCAGTCAAGGGTTTGTTTTTGAAATAAAGGTAAGAAAGATGACGGACACAAGAAATTGTGAGAGAATTTCTTAATGACGAACTGACATGGTATATATATTTGTGTGATGACTGAATAGCCATTGCCGACAGCATACAGTTTATCACCATATCCGCTGGTATCTACACATCATTAATCATCATATCAGCCAAGTCCCGGGAAAAGTAAAGCCTATACCAAAAGTACTACTTCCAGTCCTTAATATAAAAACTAGTTGACTCATCTGAGTAAATTAAAAAAAACTTAGTTAAATTAGTTATTTGTAATAAATATGTATTGTTTTTCCCAATATATACTTACTAATCAAGTGTATTGGCTAAACTACCATTATTATTACAAGGACTACCTCAGAAAAAAATGAATAAATATGAGCAACAAAATAGATTGGGGTATTATACTTAGGATTAAAATAAAAATCAAATAACACTCTCACATTAAGGACCGGAGGTAGCAGGACATTAAGGACTTAATAAAAAATATATGATCCAACTTACCACATCTAAAATAGTCTGGGGATCCCCGAGAAAGCATTCTACTTTTCCTTTACCGTAGCCACCAATTACAGCATCAAGTGTTCTGTTAACCAAATAATGTATTATACTACTTCCGGTCTTTATAAGAGCTAGTTGACTAATTTAAATAAATTAAAAAGTTTGTTAAATTAGTTAAGTGTTATTTTTCTTAAAATATCTTTGTATTAGTTAGAATTACCATTTGATGGAACTTTTAACTTGTACAGCTACTATAAACACTATTTTAAAATAAATAAATATAAGAAACAAAATGAATTTGTGTCTTATATTTATGATCAAATTAAAAGTCAAACTAGTTTTTATATTAAGATCTGAGGGTAGTATATTGTACTATTGACATTTAATTTGGAGTGTTTAATTTGTGGGGGTTAAAAAAAAAAAAAAACATACCTCACACCTTCAACCCAACCAGGAAAAGGTTCCTTGTAGGTACTTGTGACCATGGTAGGGCGTATGATAACTAATGGAATCTCATTTTTAAAATTCGACACCAACATCTCTCCCATTGCTTTTGTGAATACGTAAGTGTTTGGCCATCCATACAAGTTTGCTCTGTTTTTTGCGTCAAGCAAAGTTCGTAGTACAATAAGAACTGAAGATTATTTTGCAAAAACAAAAACATAAAGATGGATATATATAATGAACATGCATGTGATAGAACCTCTTAATTCCGAAATCTTTCATTGCAGACGTAATAGCCATGTCGTTGTCAGTATATTGTGATCTGAGTTGTTCAATTGTTTTTTGAATCAATGTCTTTTCTGCGTAAATATCTAAGACTTTTGAGGCGTCGTTTAGGGTTTGACCCATCCGTAAAGGTTCCTCCTTAATCAGTTCTCCTTCCCGAGGCTCTCCACAAATGTAAGCTGAAATCAGTAGCACGTAGCAGAGAGCGAGCACAAATTGTTAGGCTCTTGTAGATCAGAATATGTACAAAATTCTAAAAGGGTCTCCATTTCAATGACATGCAAGTTTCTGAGAAGATGAAAACTTTTATGATTAAGCATACCTGTTGATAGGTGAAGAAAAACTTGGATCCTACGGCAACTCTTGGCGAAGTTTAACACATGTAAAGCCCCCATCGTGTTAATCTCCATAGCGATGTCATACCTGGACCAAATAGCAAAATACTACTTTCATTTAAAATAGAATTAAAATCTATGTATCTAACCAAAAAATAATAAATGTTGGGCGGTCCAAAATGACAATTTCATACCAAACGTCCAATTTCCGAAGGAGTTTTTTTTTTCCTGCCGCTAGTTTTAGAAGAAATAATAAATAATTAATTAATTAATTAAAGAAGTAAAAAGAACAAAAAAGCTATTTTGATGGTTTATGATTCTAATGGAGCATAAAGTGATAGTTGTGTGTGTGTGTGTGTAATTAGTTTGAGGGGATTTTAGGCACCGGAAATCATTTTTTATGATCCAAGTTATTTTCTAGCTTTTTAATGTATTATTTGTCTAGTATTTCAAAAGATAATTGTTTTAGAACTCAATGAATAATTATTTGCAACGAAAAAAAATTCCAGCTTCATGTATATATATGACTTTATGAATTTAAAATAGTAGAACAATAAATAATATTTAATAATTTTCTAGTTTATTTTGAAATCGACGTTAATTCAATCTCGGTATCTAATAAATAATGCCTCTAATAAACAGTGATTAATGTAACTCATGTTTTAGAATGGGTGAAATTCATAACCATCATGATGATGAAGAAAGAATTTTCAACTCGTAAGATGAAAATGCAAATCAATTTTCATTCCTTGTTCATTCTGTAGTGAAAATTAAGTTACCCATTGGTTGCGCGCGCCCGCACAGATGTATATGTACCTTTCATCAAAGTTGGTATTAGCGGCAAAGTTGGCAATGACGTCTATTTCTTCCCACATCTTTTCAAGATTTGCATTTTTAATCCCCAAATTTGCAACAGAAACGTCTCCTGCAACAGCAACTACCTTCTCTGCCATCAGAGATTCAAAATCTGCACCCCATTTTTCTCGTAAAACTCTAAACAGCTCCTTCCTTATAATCTAGAAATATATATATATGTACACACACGATAGATTTATCAATATATAAATTAAATTACTGAACAAGCTAAGCTGAAAACAACCTTAACGATCTGTTGATATATATACCTCATCGTGCATGCGCTGTGTGGCTGCCTCAGAGTCAGAAGCTCTGAGAAGAAGATACAGTTTCTTCAAATCTGATTGAATCCTTAATAACTTCTCCACAAATACTATCACATTTCAAATTCATCATTTGTTAACCCCAGAGTATATGTATATGCAGAAACAATTCATTTCAGAGAGAGCGTGTGTGTGTAGAGAGAGAGAGAGAGAGGAAACTAAACCTTTTGCTAAAAAGCCAGTTGCACCGGTGACCAATATAGTCTTTCCCCTGAGAAACTCTGTTACACTTGCCACCTCCATTTTGAAGAAGCAGAGTTTGTTGTTTCTCTTTTGTGAAGATTACATTGACACGATGATATATATTCTCTTCCAATATTATATTATTGTATTTATAGTAGTCGTTGTATATAGCATCCTGTTTCTTATTATAAGTCACTTGTATCCCAAACCCACAAACCAAGAAATACATCAAATTAATAAGTTTTTTTCTACATTTACCCTTATTAAAAGGTGAGAAGGAGGGGAGGGACTGCGTAGAAAATGAAAAGTTGAGAAAAAGATAGAGAGGGAGAGGGAAAGGGATGTGTTTTGAAGAGTCATTGTTTCAGACTTAAATTATGGACGTACGAGATCGTCTTGGATTACCTGCCCCTGTACAATCGAGAGATTATGGCCGTTGATTTGATCCCTCCGTCCACAGCATTCCATGAGTCTGACTATTAGAAAATTCAAGTCTAATTATTATCCTAGCTCCCAGTGCACAAACTAATTAATGACATTTCGTACGTCTTTTATCTGTTTGCGCACTCTGCAATATACATGAGACTATAGTAAATAGAGTAATACTGTAACAAGTGATTTTATGATTCATCAACTTTTGGTATGTGGTTGTGGTGTGCCGTCACTTTCGATCGACAGGCAGCTTCTTTCATATGCAAAACTACCAGAAACGTGCTCAAATTCTGGATCATGCAGGGCACCGATTTGTTTTTAAAATTACTATAATGTACATGGATCTTGTTCAAGTATTGTCAGCGCTAATTAAAGCTCTATTTATAACACCGCAGGCTACTCTCATCTTAAACATTAGAACTAGACAGCCAATTTACACATATTTTAAAAGATTAGTTAAACTATCTGTAATAAATATGGACTGGTTTTTCTGAAAAACCTTATTTGATAGTTACCCCGGAACTCCATATTTCATATACTCCTCTGGTCCTTAATATAAGATCCATTTAACTAATTTGATTAGATTAAGGAAGTTAGGTAAGTTGATTAATTATAACAAAAGTGACACATTTTTCCTAAAATACCATAATCATCTTTCTTAATACCTTATCTCCCTCTTTTATTTGATTATGGTTGAGGGAGTATCCATAGGGGTAGTTTAGAGAAAATTAATAAATATGAGAAATGGGTCTTATATTTAGGACCAAACCCAACTCAACAATTGGGTCCTATATTAAGGACCGGAGGAGTATGTAATTATTAGAAATAGCTCTAATGCTTATAAAATTTATTACTACCTGCAGTTTTAATTATAAGACTTAGTTTGTAGATTATAAATGAGATCTTATAATTAGAATAGGAAGTAATATTATCTTTTTAATTAATTGACAAGAGATTACTATGTGTAAGAGGCACGTCCCTAACTAGTCCTAACGCCAGGTGGCATTTAATTGCCCAATGAAATTAAGACCCCATATATTCATAAATGTTTTTTTTGGGTATAATTAGGAGTATTAACGTCTACGCTTTATTATTAATGAAGCTACCGATTCATTTACTGGACGTTGACAAAACTTTTGTTGTTTTTTTTTTTCCCTTGGTTGGGGGGAGGAATTGTTTTAAGACATAATTCTAAACGCATGTAATCTGACTACTCTTTGCTCAAGGATAAAAACACTTTGAGGATTGCAGAAAAAATTGTTGGTGCGATGAGATCAAATAATAACAATATAAAATTGTGCATTGTATGCTTAATTAATAAAATTAAATTTTAAGGACTAAATCAATAATTGAGAGAAACTTCAAGAACCAAATCTTTCATTATCCACACACACACATATCCATTTTGGGGAAGGTGTTGTTAGGAGATTCTGTCATCGTAAAAAGAGGATTTTATGGACCTGGCGATACAGAGAAAACAAAAATTTACGATTATATAAATAACGTTTTTTATTATACAAAAAAAAAGAAGAAGAAATGACATTAAAAAAAAGTTGAAAATCATAACGTAGTTTAGGCATGTAAGGGGTTAAAATTTCAGGAGATGAAGTAATGTTTGATTTGGTATTTTGCAAATACAGTTAAATATTAAAAATACCCTTATCTCAAAAACTTTATTAATAAGTTTTGAACGGGTAATGATAAGTGTTAGACAACAAATGACAAAAAATTTATTGGCAATAACAAGTTATTTATTAATAAGTTATGAATTGGTAATGATAACTGTTGAATAACTAAGGACACAAAATGTATTGGTAATAATAAGTTTGATAATTTTTTTTAAAAATTGATATAAGAACATCTTAGTCATTCGACTGTATTTCCAAAAATACCAAACTAGGTACCATATCTTCTACTAAGATTTTGATATTTTAGGTGCCTAAATTGAAATATTGCAGGAAATTAGAGGTGAGTAAAAACAAACCGTAACCGAAGCCAAACTGAACTGAATTCAATTTCGGTTTTTCAGTTTGATTATTTTGGTTTTCAATTACATATTCGGTTTCGGTATTCGGTCCGGTTAGTAAAAAGAATTTCAGTTATAACCGAAAAACCGAATTAAATATATTATATATTTATATTTAATAAATATTATTATAATAAATATATATGCGGGTTTATGTGAACTCTTTAAATGTATTTATATTCAGCAAATATGGTTATAATAAATCATATTAAATGATGAAATATTTATTAATTAATGATTGTAATTATATTTTATTATTATTTTTAATTTAAAATCACTTTTCATATTTATATATTTCGGTTAATTGGTTAACCTAACCGAAATATTTCAGTTAATTCGGTTTCGGTTCGGTATTTATAATTTGCTTTATTTGGTTATTCGGTTAATTCGATTATCACCAATAACCGAACAAAAAAGTCGAATGCTCACCCCTACAGGAGATCACAACATTCTGATTCAGGCATGTAAGAGGTTAAAATTTTAGGAGATGAAGTAATGTCTGATATGATATTTTGCAAATATAATTAAATGATAAAAATACCCTTATCTCAAAAAGTTTATTAACAAGCTATGAATGGGTAATCAGAAGTGTTAAATAAAAGATGACAAAAAATATATTACTAATGACAAGTTATTCATTAATAAATTGTGAATTGATAATAACAAGTATTAAACAATCAATGACAAAAAATATACTGATAATGACAAGCTTGATATTTTTTTTAAAAAAAATCTGATATAAAAACATTTTAGTCGTTTGATTGTATTTTTAAAATACCAGGTCAAATACCATATCTTCTATTAAAATTTTGATCTTTTAGATGTTTAAATTAAAATATTGTAATTTTTAATTTGTTTTGTGTAAATTTTCAACCCAAAAAAAAGATGGAGAATCAATTGACAATTTGACTTTTGGTTGCACCACGTTGGATGTGATCGATGACAGTTGATGAGCGGATGGAACGGCGACACGCCCTGGCAAGTGGCAGGCCAGCAAATACTTAGCCATCGCACTAATCATAGTACTCCTCCGATCCTTAATATAAGACCCATTTAACTAATTTGATTAGATTAAGGAAGTTAGGTAAGGTAGTTAATTACTCACTCCGTTCCTTATTATAAGAGACATTTGATGCTTATAGCATGTTCCTAAATATAAGAGACACTTAAAAGTTGTCTCTACTTTTTTGTGTTGATTTCCTATTTTACCCATATTTATTGTTTCCAACTCACACTCTCTCTCCTTCCCACTTCTCTTTCTTTTAAGAATTTACTATTGTTCTCTCTCATGCTCTCTCTCCTTATTAATGAGGGTATTTTTGAAAAAAAAATATACTTTTTACATATTTATTGTTCTTAACTAATTTTAACTGTTTTTTTGATCAACGTAATTCGGTTATTCGTCTCTTATAATAAGGAACGGAGGGAGTATAAAAAATGTGACACGTTTTTCCTAAAACACCATAATCATCTTTCTTAATACCCCTCTCCCTCTTCTACACTTGATTATGATTGAGGGAGTATCTATAGGGGTAATTTAGAGAAAATTGATAAATATGAGAAATGGATTTTATATTTAGGACCAAAACCAACTCACCAATTGAGTCCTATATTAAAGACCGGAGGAGTAATAAATATACTTTTGGTTGTGCCCCCAAAGGGGGGGCTAACGGCGACCCGCAACATAATAAATACAGACAAGATCATTAAAATAGCAGAAACTGGCTGTGTGGCTATTATTTTGGATGCCCTTTTCTTGATTCCACCGTCTAAATTTCTTTGAAAAAATCTGTAAGTGTGCACCTAACTTGAGGTCCTTCAATAATTAATTTCCAAATATATATCGTGGTTTTTTGATTTTGATAATATATATATACGTGGTTATTTTGTTTCGAAAAATGCATTAAAAAAAAAAGACACGAGGCGTCCCGTGGTCCTTTTATTTTCCAGATGCATTTTTCATGGGCCATGTTTGCTGAGTCTAGATCTCAGCAATTTAATCATATGATACATACGTGGATCTATAAGGGTCTGTCTGGTTTTATAAGGGTCTGTATGGTCTAATAAGAAGAGGGATTTTAATGGAGGAAAAGAAAAGAGAAGAGAGTGGAAGGATTTTAATATTATTTTGTTTGGATTTATAAAAAAAGAGGAGGGGAGAGGTTTTAATATTACCTTATTTGATTCATGAGGAGAGGGGAGGGGAGAGAAAAATATTTTGACATGGACAATTTGCACGTTTTTATTTAAGATTATTTTTGCAAATTTCATAGAATGTTTAATAAAATAGAATTATAAATAACATTTAATATATTGAACAATACTTATACTAAAATTCTAATATACTGTAGAATGTGAAGTATTATTGAAAAGAAGGTTGAAGTAATGTTCAGTTACAACTTGTACTATATTCCATCTTTGAATGAAATATTTGGTTATACAAAGGAGAGAACAACATCTGGAGATAAGAAGAAAAGGATTTAGGATAGTATATGGACATAAAAAATAAATACAGGCATAGCGGTCACAACATGGTAAAATATTATTCTTTCCCTCCAAATCTTCTTAATTTTGAAAGGTAGGCTGAGGAGGGGAGGCTCTCCTAAAACGTGTG